AGTGAGCCTCTGAGGCTAGCATATACCGACTGAAAGTGCGGGAATCATGGGGACAAGGTTGGAGCTCTGCCACAGTAAGTAGATTACAACATGGATGATGTTGGGTAAATCAGTGTAACTTATCAATGAGTGTTTGAACAGAACCTGGCACAATGGGGTCCTGGTCCACAACTGGTGCCTTTAGGGACCACGATAATACAAATAAAACAATAATAATAGTTCAGTAGGGATCTGAAATAAGTGTAATTTACCCAGAAAGGGTGATAGCAGGAAAAAGTAGCTAACAGAAGGGTGTAAAACAAATCCTGCTTTTCTCTTAGTCTATGTACATAGGGCTGACTTCTATACTGACACATGGTGTATAAAATGGTTGGCCCAGACCACCTTTCCTCTGAAGATCAGAGGCATTCTTTCAGGGCCTCTTCCTCTGGGACACCCTGCAAAGCAGCAGATCTATATTAAAGATTCTCCTAGGATGGATAGAATGGGTTATGTGCCTTATTTCCATACCACCATTCCTACCCCCTGCTGCTGAGGCGTGGCAGGGGACAGTGGGGGCAATTCATAGCTGTTGCAATAGACCCTTGGGGTCTTAGGCAGCTGGGAGTCAATTTAGAACTACCCCCTCCCCCCAGACACATTCTCCTGGGCTGTGCAAGCACAACTTTCAAGTTGAAGGCCTTAGCATTTACAGAGCCACCCTGCAGAAAGAAGCCTGACTTCTCCCCTACCTCCAGTTTGCACACCTGGCAGGCAACGATGGATTAAGACTAAAATCTGCAAGGGGGCAGGTGGAACAGCTGCTCGGGAATGATCATCGACAGCAATCCCAATGGCCAAAGGCAGAAACTGCTCCAGAGAAATAAAACCCCTGCAGCCAGGTAACTGAAGTTCCCTGTAGCTACTCCAGTGGGTGGGGCAAGCTTGCCCCTGTCAAGCTCTCAAAATGATTTACAAATGTTAATTCATAAAGATTCAAAGCACCCAAGTGTGCCAGGCCTCTGCACTAACCACTGCATGACACTGCTTCCCATAACTAACATCATAGCTGCTCAATGGTATGAATGATTAGCCAATCCATCCATCACAGGCAGCATAACGTTTTGCTATGAATCCATCCTTTGCATTGCAACAGATGAATACTGCAGCATGATATAATGGGCTAAACTCACAGCTTGTGTAAACAAGTGCAACTCCCATGGAAGTCTCTGGGCCAAACTGAGATGTGATCTATCTATTGCCTTAAAGTATGTGTGACATAGGGTTCAAGTTGGCCAGGTAATGGTGAAGTAGTGTAACTTGCACTGATTGGGCATGCAGTGGACATGTAAAACTAGGGTATCATACATGATGAGAGGACAGAATAAGATGTAGGCTGTACATCGTGCTGACAAATATTGTCTCATTGTTCATTTGTACTCCGCATCTGTCTGTATCAAGCTGTTGTTTCTTGTTTTATGCTTAGATTGTAAGCTCCATGAAGCACAGACAATCTTTTTGTTCTGTGTTCATACAACACCTAGCAAAACAGGGTCCCCGTCCACGAGTAGGGTGGTTCAGTCCTATAGTAATAGGAATAACAGATTATAACCAACAACAACTAGCAGGAAGGCAAAAGACAATGTATATGAAATCAGAATAAAAATGTAGATAACTGAAAATAAGTATGTATACCACATCTTCCAATTATTACATTAGAGGATGCTGTTTTTGCAGTATCAAAGACCTTGGGTTAGATTCTGATCTCAGTTAAATTAGTGCCAATCTGAAGTAGCTCCACTGAAATGAATGGAGATATTCTGCATTTACATTAGTACATCTCAACTGAGATGAGCATCTGGTCCTTGGGCCAGATCCTCAGATGGTATAGATCAGTATATCTCCATTGACTTCAGTGGAGCGACATCAATGTATCCGCTGATGATCTAGCCCTTTATCTTCCCCTCAGTTTAAAGTTTTTTACTGATCAAATTACAGGAAAATTGAAAGTCCCAACTGGGCTTACATCAACATCAAGCTGGACTTATTACACAGACATATAGTCCAGAAAATCATGACATCCTTAACGATTTTGTCCAGCTTCTTGAATAGAATAAAAAGGTTAACTCTTAAGTAGTAAGAACACATGTGCGCATTAGAAACACTTCACCAGGAACCTTTCAAAAGACTTATGGAACAGTGGATAAATGTGCATGATTGCTGTGTTGTGCATTTATGGACTTTCTGCTAAGATTAGACCAGACGGCTCATCTCTCAAACTAATTGGATCCTATAAATATTCCAGTGTCGCACAGATAACAAATGTGTTTTTAAAATTGTAAATATTAATGATAGTTATGATTGTGAATGAGTTTGAAACACTTAGCATGCAGCCTATTTCCTCTGAATCAGCCAACAATCTACATAATGTAATTTCTTCCTGCAGACCACTGTTCCCTCTAAACTGTGTGCGTGTGCACGCACACAGATCCAAAACCCCGCGCACACAGCGAAACACCACGCACACAAAAAGTTGCACAGAAGCACAAAAATTTGCACAGACGAAATTTTTTGTGCACACGGCCTGTCAAAAATTAGAGAACATTGCTCCAGACTTGTAAAAATATTTATTATCCACAAAATCAAGAATTTAATATTTTCTGCTCAGTATGCTGTAGTTGAAAAATTAGAGTACTGAAATTCCTACGTTATCTAAATAATTCCCAATACAATTATTTTATTACACTAATGTAATAAAAAGAAATTACACTTTCAAATTTTTAATTTTTTTAAATGACCATTTTAATCAAGTATTTTCTTAAAAAGACACAGCCCAATACTGACAATAGTCATTTGTTTCCACTGAAGGTTTAAAGATTGGTGGATAAGGTCTAGAGTTCTCATTTCTGCAGATAACTTTTTATTCAGAAAAGGGGGAAGACCTTTCACAAACACAATACAAATGAAGGTACAGATCCTGTGTTGTGTCCATCTGAGATGCTTGACACAGCTGGCAGGAGCTGGGGAAGGAGATGTGTAAAGGTGGCATTAAGCCACCTTTACACTTCACCAACCGCAGTTTTACAGCTTTCTGGCTGCTGGGCCAGATACCAGTGTAAAGTGGAGCAACCTCAGGACTGCTCTTTGTCTTGCTGCCTACATTCCCGAGGAATCATTGTGGCAACTAGGAATTGCTGAGGTGTATGGATGCTCCAGTCACCTCTGTACAACAGTGTGTAGGATTGGTGGGTTATGCATGAACTGTTATGGATGCCCTAGTTCACCAAAGGATTCCCCTGTGCGGGCAAAGTCCTTGAGTGACCAATTAAAATTACTTAAAGGCTGCAGTTACTGCATTTATGAGAGCAAAGAGACTAAGTGTGGTTAACAACTGCTGCATGCACCTTGTATGTTCTACACCTGCAGAAGGGCTACCCATTATCTGAGAACTCAAGGATCAAGTAGCTGTGCCTTTTATGGAAATAATGTATTTGTTTTAAGAAATAATTTATTCCTGAACTACTCTCTGCCCTTAGAAATGTAACATTCAATTTTCTTTGAAATTTTCATTCTGTGGCAGCTCCTTATATCATGGCTGTCTCCCAAACAAGCTTCCCTCTTCTCACCCAACCCAACTGGTAGCCGTCTCTCAGTTGCTTTCTCTAGTGCGTGTATAATTCTTTTTCAATGCTGGGGCTGCCTCTGCTGAGCAGGCTTGATACAGTCATTTTATATCCTTTGTAATTTAAAATACGCTATAAATACTTCCTGTATCCACCAATCTTTACTCTAAACCTTCCATTACAAAAAAATGAGGACATTCAAGGGCGCAGTTGAGAGTTTTCAGGCTCAACCCTGGCATGCTTTCTTATGGGTTAATTAGAACGTGAAAAATGCCAGTTCTTTCAAGACAGTGAATTACTTCTAACCCTTGAGGAGAATCTTAAATATTTGATTGATGGGATAAAAACCTGTGCAGCAACAGCATTGGTTACTTTTTGGAAATATTATATACTGCAGAGAACGAAGCAATGGATGAATTTGACTGGAATTCTCTTTGGCTTTCATTTAACTACAAATCCCTTAGTTCTCATTTTAACCTCTCTGCAAATGCTAAGAAATGGAAAAACTGAGGAGAGCTTCTGAAAAAAAATATGTATGGCTAAATTCACAAGTCCCACACCTGTCCAACATGAGAACTGCAGGTGGCCAGCCTGTCTCACGTTGGGCACCCAACAATTTAAGCACTTCTATTAAAAACAAAAAGGGTTTCTTGGTTTAGCAATACAGTGCTATTCTCCACAGCTCCCCCTTCTCCCTGGTTGGAGCACTGAGAACGGAATCTCCTGGGTCCATCTACTTTGCAGACACAAAAACAGTAGTGGCTAATGTTTTCAAACTGTAAATTGGCAGTTAGAGAACCTAACAGACCTATGCTAACCTAGCCCACTTGCAGATCAGGTCACCTGGGAGGTCTCAGAACCTTCAAACTATACAGTGTACTTATATGTACACTTCATACATTTTTGTGGGCTGACTTAATTATTCTCCCATTCACTAACCTTCTTCAACTCTCTCCTCCAGACTCACATCTGTTGTGACCTCCTCAGGAAATTAGCCCAGTCAGTGACCACTGTGGGGCAGTTGGGAACAGATATTTCCTTTTGTAAACCATTGGAATGATTTGGAACATCAAACTGTTCAGTAACTGACCCATGTCGCCTCATTACACTTGTCCTCCATCACTTTGTTAATCCACACACACTTTGTCAATTAGATAGCAAGATCTTCAGGGAAGGAATCATATTTATAACCTGCAGATTTGCACAGAGACTAGCACAGTGTGTCCCAGTCTTGACTGACTGGTGCCTTTTGGCCCAGCCGCAATGCAAATAAATAATACTCCAGAATTAAACTACTATTCCTTTAAAACGTTTGAATTAATTCCAATGAAGCCAACTGGGCGTACTTTCAGGAAGGCGCCTGGTAAAACAAGTTGAAAGACAAGTGCAACAGGAAGGAGGCCAAAAACAAACAGGAGTACAGTAGCTGGAATAAAAGGGGAACAGGGTTGAACTAAGAGGAACAAAAGAACATGGAATATTAAAAGGGGAACTCTACCAAGGCGGGGCAAAAGGAAATCAAGAACAAGCCACAACAGACAAGGTTTGATTGCATCTGAATTTAAGAAACCTACAATCCAATAAATGCAAAGGAAAAAGGGAGAAAAGAAAGAGAGGGAAATCAGTGCTATTAGAATATGAGGGACATAAGGGAATGAGGGGAAAGAGAAGCAGCTCTGGAAAAAGTGAACTGAGATTAGAATCTGGGTGGGTAAATGGGAAAACAAAGAGGTGTTGTTGCTGTTTGACAATCAAGGGAGTTTAGCAACTTTCCAAAAGAAGTGCAGAGAAGCATTAGCATAAAAGAAGGGGTGGCAATAAAGAGAAAAGTGAAGAAGACTGGTAACCCCCCCCCCCAACTGAAAAAGGAAAAATCTTGTTAAGAATGATTGTGGATCATATAAGTTAGGTGCAAAAAAAAAAAATCACTTATACTCTTGGGTAGCAGACTTGAAGAAAGACTCCGGGGAAGAGAAAAGAGGGACACAGTTGTAAGAAACCTGTGCCTGGATTGGGAATTAGCCTGCGTGTGTGCTACAGTGGCTCTGGCTGTCGTCACTGGGGTTGCTAGAGTGTAAAACAAAAGGTTAGACTAAGATTTGCTGGAACCTGAAGAGGATGATGTTCATGTAGCTCAGAACAAAGATTACTGTGTTTGATTTGATGAAAGGACCAGGCGGACGTGAGGCACCTCAGAGACTAACCAATTTATTTGAGCACCAGCTTTCCTGAGCTACAGCTCCCTGCATCCTTTTCTTTTTGCGAATACAGACTAACACGGCTGCTACTCGGAAACCTGTGTTTGATGAGATACTAGCTGTCAAGCCAATATGCCTGGACACTTGACTTGGATATTAACTGTGGGTCACATTGTGCCCCGCTGCTCCATGGATCCACATGAGAGTGGGGCGTACAAAAAGCACCCATTTAAGCCCCTGCTCATTGCTAGCACTCCTAGCAGTGTAAGAAAAACTCACAAAGGGGATGGGGAGAACGCAGGAGTCCCCAACCCCTTGCGTTGGTCCACATAGCTGGCCAGGCATGCCGTGCGGGGTATTTCATAACTCTTGAAGGAGCGTAGTGGCAGATTAACTCTGAGAAGCAAACCCAATGAGGAGCAATTGCAGCCTGGGTTAACCACGCAGGTAACATGAGCTTTGTTAAAAACGTTCCTGGTATACTGTTAAGTGCACATTGAAATCCATTCTTTGCTGTTACTGTTTGCAGTCTCTCAGTATCATGTGAAGTATATTTGTTTATTTACAGGCTTATCCATGATGTTGTATCTTAGCAGCAATAGTGGTATAGCTTCTCTTCAAGAGAAAAGAAGGTGAGGAATAGGGTGACCATACGTCCCATTCTGGCTGGAATAGTCCCTTTTTTAAGCCCTGTCCCAGCTGTCCCGACTTCCCCCGCCCCCCAAAGGAGGCATTTGTCCCGTTTGCTCTTGCCAACTGATCAAGTCCGCCACAGCAAACAGGACAAATGCCTACTTTTGGGGGAAAAAGTGGGGTGCAGTGTGAAGGGGACAAACAGAGATGCCAACCCCCCCCCAGGGGGAAGGTAGGGCTGGGGGGCGGAGGGAAGCAGCATTCCAGCATGCGGCGCCCCCGCAGTGTTCCAGCTACCAGGCAACAGCCTGGCGCGGCGTTGTTTCCAACAACAGTTGGGGGGAATGGTGGGGGGGGCAGGCAGCTGGGGGGTTTCATGTTTTCTCTTTGGGAAATATGGTCACCCTAGAGAGGAAAGGTTATTGTGACTAAATGGGTAGGGTAGAAGACGTGGCAGGGTCAGAACATGCTGCTGCCATGGCTGCAACCTCAGCAGTGGAAGCAGGAATAGTGGCTGCAATGACAGGCATAGACCGAAGCAGGAGCAGAAGTTCAGTAGTAGCAATACAGCTCTCTTGTACAGTGGTGCAGGCATGTGCTCTTCTGCTCTCTACTTTCTCATCTGCTCAAGTGTTGAAGATGCTGGGATTATCTTGCCCCCTAGTGGCTACCCTACAAAATTCACATAGGACCAAATTAATCCCGGTGTAAATCCACTGAAGTCAATAGACTATGCCAGCGGTTCTCAAACTGTGGGTTGGGACCCCAAAGTGGGTCACGACCCTGTTCTAATGGGGTTGCCAGGGCTGGCATTAGACTTGCTGGGGCCAGGGCTGAAGCCTGAGCCCCATCGTTCAGGGCCAAAACCGAAGCATGAGAGCCTCAGCCCTGGGTGGAGAGGCTCACGTTACAGGCCCCCTGCTTGGGGCTCAAGCCCTTGGGCTTTATCACCACCCTGTACCTGGAGTGGTGGGGCTTGGGCTTCCCCCACACACACACACCTGGGGCAGCAGGGCTTGGACGGGCTCAGGCTTTGGTCCTCCTTCCTGGGGTCACATAGTAATTTTTGTTGTCAGAAGGGGGTTGCGGTGCAATGATGTTTGAGAACCCCTGGACTATGCATTGCCTCTGATTTTGAAAAGTGATGTAAATCAGAATCCCTACTTACTGCCCTGTCAGGGAGCCTAATCAGGTGTGATGGAAGAAGGTATAAATTAAAGTTGCCTTTAAATCCCTTACTTTACTTTATATATTTTACATACACACCCTGTAAATCACTTTGCTTCCTACAGTAACTCTTCTGGCCCATTAGTATGTGAGTTAAACAATCTGGACTCCCTTAGATTTAGTAGATGTAAGTAGAGCAATTTAGAAAATATTGTATCTGCACAGAAAAATGTAGATAATGGGATTTTTTTTGTTGTGGAAATTTCAATGGAAAATTTTGACTTTTCATCCCTAAATTTAAAATGTTGAGACTTTCAGGTTTTCCAGTGAAAACTGAAATTTGACAAAAGCGTACATTCCACACAAAAATCTGCCTAGTTGAAAAAAAAAATATTTTCCATCTAAAAAATTGATGGAAAATTTTCAATCAGCCCTAGGTATAAGTTATACATTGGCAAGAGGGTGAAAGCTGAAATAAACCTATGGGGATCTAAAATGGTTTAACAGATGCATTGAGGTGACTGAAAACGGTACCAGCTTAGATTCCCAATAGATTTACCAGCTCAAATTTAGAGGTCATATTGAAGATGGTGTAAGCTACCGTCGGACTTCCTAAGGGAATTTAAGTTAGGGAATTTACTTCCATTGACACATCTCCTCTGAATTATGCCTGAGTTGGGGGCCAATGGATTTAAACTGGGTGTTAATTTGTTCCATAAACCCCAACCCATGAGAGTGCAAAAACATCTGTTTTTCAGTTTCACTATGCCCTATTTAGGGATAACTAACAAATAACAACAAGAACAACAACAGTAGTCACTTACATTTTAAATAGTTGGACAGGATCCAAAGCTGACTTCTGTGGAATCCTGCCAATTTACACTCACAGAGGATCTGGTCCAATGTCCTTTCCACAGTTTACTACTATGATCCTTCTCCCCTCCCTTGGTAGCCTGACCTCCCCTGTGCTTTGGGAGATCTGAACATGAAAGTAGGAAAAGTTGGGAGGAGACGTTTAATAAATAGACAAACTATGCCCCATTTTGCTCTCAAGTAGGAAATGGAAGTTAAAATATTCCTCAAGCATTAACTGACTGAGAAAAATTTTCTGTGGTCAATTTGGTTGCCATTCAACACTTGAGAGAATAATGCAACTGAATTCCATAGCTAAAACTCTTACAAGCAGTCTTTTGTAGGCCCTTAAAATCCTGTAAAACAACAACAAAATGAATGGAATTTCAGTGTGCATTTCAACAAGAGATGTTCACTTACACATTTTTAACAGGAGGAGGCACTTGTTTTCAGTGTTCAAGAAAGTTTCTTTAGCTTCTGGACCTTTTAAAAATAATTAACTGAATTTTAAAATAGCCTTCAGTTCCAGTGAAGAGCACCTGTCTTCTATTTAACACACCATTTCCTTCACCATATTTTAGTTGGCCAGGCCATGGCTTGCTGGAAGAAAATACGAAGCAGCAGCTGGATTTATCCTACCCTGGTCCTCTGCATTTATGGGTTTTTCTCCCTGATGAGGCCATCAGAACCTTTCCTCACCCCTTATCTAACAGGACCAGATAAAAACCTGACCATTGATGAGGTATGGCTATACACTGCTTTCTCATTATATGGAATAACAAAATACTGAGTATGCTTTATTCTTCAGAAAGAAAGTATCAGACAATCTCATTTACTCTCCAACATTTATTACAGAAAGATACATGCATGATATTTCCCCTGTGAAAGATTAGGAGCTCAATCCTCATTTCTGCCCTAAAGGGCCAATTGAGAATTCCCTGACAAAAGGTAATATTCAGGGGGCACGTAGACAGCATATGTTTTAAAACGTTAAGGGAACAAAGATAAAACAAAGATTTTCCTATTAAGCAGCGAACAGGGCAGTATAAGATCTGTGCATCATGCATACTTATATTGCTATATTTTATGCACTGAATTAACAGCAATGAGTGTGATGCTTTCTCCAAGTTAATTCACAAAAATCACAGGATTCCTTCCTTTCCCTTCCAGGTTACAAACCAGATTTTACCAGTTTGGACATACTCCTATCTGGCGTTGCTGTTTCCTGTTTTCTTGATTACGGACTATATGCGCTATAAACCCATCATTATTCTACAAGGCCTTAGCTTCATTATTACATGGCTGATGCTTTTGTTTGTCCAAGGAGTGCTAGCCATGCAGCTGATGGAGGTTTTTTTTGGGATGGTAACAGCCACTGAAGTTGCCTATTACGCCTACATTTACAGCGTTGTCAGTGTTGACCATTATCAGAAAGTGACTAGTTATTGCAGAAGCATCACACTTGCTGCAACCACAGTTGCGGCAGTGCTTGGGCAACTTTTAGTGTCTTTGGCAGAGCTATCCTATTTTTATCTAAACGTCATTAGTTTGGCTTCTCTGTCCTTGGCCCTCCTAGCCTCATTTTTTCTACCAATGCCAAAACATAGTATGTTTTTTCACAAAAATCGTATCCCTGAAACTCCCCAAGGAGCAACGGATCAAGACACAAAGTCAAAAGCAACCAGCATTAATGAGCAGCCAAGTTGCCAAGAGGACAAAGACACTGCGAAATCATCCGTCCTTTCCAGGACCTTGCCTGAATGTCAGTCTGACAAGCATCAGTGTCACATGCTTGTGCAGTTATGCAAGGATGTAAAGGAATGCTATTCCACAAAGAAGCTTCTTTACTGGTCCCTCTGGTGGGCTTTAGCCACTGCGGGCTATAACCAGATTGTGAATTACGTCCAGGTGTTATGGGACTACAGAGCACCCGCTAAGAATAACAATGTTTATAATGGGGCTGTTGAGGCAGCAGCAACATTTCTGAGTAAGTAAACAACATAGTATTAAAGTTTCAGAGTAGCAGCCGTGTTAGTCTGTACCCACAAAAAGAACAGGAGGGCTTGTGGCACCTGAGAGACTAACCAATTTATTAGAGCATAAGCTTTCGTGGGCTTCAGCCCACTTCATCAGATGCATAGAATGAAACATATACTAAGAAGATATACACACACACACACAGAGAAGGTGGAAGTTGCCATACAAATTGTAAGACGCTAATTAATTTCTACCTTCTCTGTATGTGTGTGTATATATATATATATATATCGATCTTCTTACTATGTGTTTCATTCTATGCACCCGATGAAGTGGGCTGTAGCTTATGCTCTAATAAATTTGTTTGTCTCTAAGGTACCACAAGCACTCCTGTTCTTTTTATAGTATTAAAGTATTTCCTCTAGTAAATTCTAAAATACAAACTATACCAGATATACGTTTTAAATCATGTGTGCTCCTATGATGTGGTTTAAGTCCATTTCATGCCTATTAAGCATTCCACAGTAGGGGTAAGCAGGTTGTACATTCAAATTATAATAGTTCATGTGAAGAACGAGAAGCCTCAAATTTAACACCATGTGTCAGGGTTCCCTCCCCACTTTGAACTTTGGGGTACAGATGTGGGGACCCGCATGAAAGACCCCCTAAGCTTATTTTTACCAACTTAGGTTAAAAACTTTTTCAAGGCACAAGCTTTGCCTTGTCCTTGAACAGTATGCTGCCACCACCAAGTGATTTAGACAAAGAACAGGGAAAGGACCACTTGGAATTCCTATTTCCCCAAAATATTCCCCCAAGCCCTTACACCCCCTTTCCTGGGGAGGCTTGAGAACAAACAAGATGAGTACAAACCAGCCTTGGATTTTTAAGACCCAAAAAACCCAATTAGATTCTTAAAAATCAGAACTTTATTAGAACAACAACAAAAAAATAAGAGAACAACTCTGTAAGATCAGAATGGAAGATAATCTTACAGGCAGTCAGATGCAAAACATAGAGAATCCCTCTAGGCAAAACCTTAAGTTACAAAAAGACACAAAAACAGGAATACACATTTCCTCCAGCACAGCGAATTTACAAGCCAAAACAAAGAAAACCTAACGCATTTTTTAGCTAGATTACTTACTAACTTTACAGGAGTTGGAGGGCTTGCATCCTTGATCTGTTCCTGCAAAAGGCATCACACAGACAGACAAAAGCCTTTTTCCCCCCCTCCAGATTTGAAAGTATCTTGTCCCTTCATTGGTCATTTTGGTTAGGTGCCAGCGGGACCACCTTAGCTTCTTAACCCTTTACAGGTGAAAGGATTTTGCCTCTGGCCAGCAGGGATTTTATAGCACTGTATACAGAAAGGTGGTTACCCTTCCCTTTATATTTATGACACCATGCCATGTATTTCTCAAGGGGGCTGACTCTCAAAGTGTAGTCTTTAGCTCGATAGAGTTTTGTGCAGTACTTGGTGGTCTGTGGAGAGCGCACTGATCACATGGACCTTGTGTCCAGCTGCTAAATTCATTCTAAGGAGCTCAAAATGCATTGCTGCCCTGTTATTTTTCCACATGGGCCTTGCTATGTTTGGCACTGGAATGTTATTCATTCATGAATGGGAAGGGACGCTTGTGTGAGACACTCCCTAAGACGACATGGATCTCACTGTGAAAAGTTAAAGAAGTCCTTCAATAGAGTATGGTGCACATTTTGAACGTATTGTTGTGTACGTTACTTCTCTTGATGAGATCCAGGCCAGTGTACTTATTAGAATTAGCTATCAAATGATAGGAAGATCAGTTAATATCAAACTTAGTTTTCAGACGTTTAATACATTCACAGTCAAATTTCAGACTGAAGCATGGGTTTTGGAAGTAATATAGGGTGAGGTAGTAGCATCCCAGAGTTAAAGTGCACACCTAGGATTTCATTAGCGGTCCATCGCTAGTTAAGCCTTCTCTCACACATAACCTTGTTGCCTCGCTACTCATACGAATAAAGGATGCAAGACAGAGCCAATGGTCACCCTTCCTTTATAAACAGGAACTTTAAAAAAAACTCTAAGCCCTAATAAGAAATTTCTAAATCCTAATTGGCATGTATAATGTGGTGCTAGAAGAGAATTTTTTCACCAAAAATTTTAAGCGAACTCTACACTCACTATCCTGATGAAGTGGATTATAGCCCATGAAAGCTTATGCCCAAATACATTTGTTAGTCTCTAAGGTGTCACAAGGTCTCCTCGTTGTTTTCGCTATCTTGAGATACCGGAGTTTTAAAAAGGAATTAGGGACCTGGGTCCATTGCTACCCTGCAGCTGGAATAGTTATTTATCCCAGTGCAAAACGAATGCAGAATGCTACCATCCCAATCCAGCAGTGTTTTACACTCACTTTGCACTGGGGTAAATGGCTGCAAGGCAACAGTGAATCACTCCCAAGGTGTTTCCTCAGATAAATTCTCATAACTATTCTGTGTCATGTCACATCTCCAAGAGCCCAGCAAGTTCACACATTGAGCACTAGGGTCTTTGGCCCATCATTTTCCAGAAATGATGGTATGTAAGCAATTGTGATACTTTGCCTGATTAGGAATGAGAGAACACTGTTCTCTGTTGGCACACTATAGATTTTTCAAGACCAATGAAAGGTCTGGCTGGCCTAGCAAGTTTCACAAAAGGTCTGTGGGCTTGGTAAATTCAGTCAGTCAAAGGATTTGCTTCAGGATTCTGACTAAGCTTCTAAAGCCACAAAGGAGTTTGGTAGATTTTAAAAGGACATGATCAAAGCTCAGTGGAATTAGTAAGCTCCCCAGGAAACCCTAAGGGTATGTCTATACTACGAAATTAGGTCAATTTTATAGAGGTCAATTTTTAGAAATCAATTTTATACAGTCAATTGTGTATGTCCCCACTAAGCAAATTAAGTCGGCGGAGTGCGTTCTCACTGCCCTGGCTTGCATCGACTCACGGAGCGGTGCACTGTGGGAAGCTATCCCACAGTTCCTGCAGTCTCCGCTGCCCATTGGAATTCTGGGTTAAGCTCCCAATGCCTGATGGGGCAAAAACATTGTCGCGGGTGGTTTTGGGTACATGTCATCAGTCTCCCCTTCCTCCTTCCCTCCGTGAAAGCAACTGCAGACAATCATTTTGCTCCTTTTTTCCTCTTTCTACAACAGACCTGGATCGATTAGATAGGCAGTGGGATGCTCTGTGCCACCGTCCAAGCTCTCTGGAGGCTTTCATCTGCTTCCAGTTCCGTTTGGAACTGTTCCCTTGGCGCTGGAGACATCAGTTCCTCATTGGATTGTAGACCTAGGCTTGGTCCCTCTGGAAGCGATGCAGTTGATGGGGCTGTTTCCGTTGACTGTGAACCGTTCTCTGCTGGTGCACTATGTTGGCGTTCAGGCTCCAGCTGAGCCTCTTGTGTAGGGTTATAGGCTGCTGCCGGTGCAGGTTCGGTGGGGCCCTCTGATGTTGGGGTTGCAAGTACTGGATTCAGTGCTGGCAATGGTTCTGGTGCTGGTTGTTCTGCCGGTTCTGGTTCTGAGACTGGCTCTGTCTGGGTCTCTGTGACTGGATCCACTAGTGCTCTTGCAGATGTTGGCATGGGGTCCAGTTCCATCACCTCTGACTGGGTCCTGATAGAAGTTTCTGGAATAGAGCTAGGTGTGACAGCTTGCTTAGCCGGGCCGCGGGTGACCATTCCCACCCTCTTGGCTAGCTTCACATGATTAGCCAAGTCTTCCCGCAACAGCATGGGGATGGGATAATCATCATAAACTGTAAAAGTCCACGTTCCTGACCAGCCCTTGTACTGGACCAACTTGACTGTAGGCAAGTCAAAAGAGTTTGACTTGAAGGGTTGAATCATCACTTGGACCTCTGGGTCGATTAAATTGGGATCCACAAAGGAATAGGGATAGCTGACACTTGTGCTCCAGTGTCCCTCCACGCGATGACCTTCTTCCCACCCACACTCACAGTTTCCCTCCACTCTGAAAGTATCTGGGAGGTATCTGGGCTTGAGGACCTCTGGTGTGATTCTGGTGCAATGAACTGTCATCTGTTGGGGTTCTTGGGGCAGCTGGCTTTTACATGCCCCAGCTTGTTACATTTAAAACATTGCCCAGCTGACGGGTCACTGGGGCTAGGTGGGTTGCTGGAGAACAGTCTGGCGGTACAATAAGGGGTCTGGAGTGTTCCTTGGGGTTGGGGACTTGGGCTGCCCCCAGTAGTAGGGTGTGGTCTGAGGGTGTCCCTTCTGCTATCCGCTCCAACTGCGACTAGAGTTGTTCCTCTCTCCTCCCTCCACCCATTTTGTTCCAGCTTGCCCTGCCTCTCTGGCGGTCTGGGACTGCTCGTATTGATCAGCATAAGCAGCAAGACTTTCTGCTGAGTCCATTTTCTTATCCCATAAACATTGTTTTATATCCTCCTTGGATATATTCAGGAATTGCTCCTGTATCATCAAATCCCGCATTCCTCCAAAGTTAGTTACAGCCCATCCATTGAGCCATTTATTAAACCATCTGTCATCTGGTTTACATAAGCCACATTACTTAGTCCAGGTCTTCTCTCAAGGGCTCTAAATTTTACTCTGTAAGTTTCAGGTGTAACTTGAAATTGTTTTAAAACCAAATCCTTGAATTTATTATAGTCAGAAGCCTCCTCAATAGGCTTCTTATTGAATATGTCCAGAGCTCTTCCAGTCAATTTTGTGACCAATGTGGTCATCTTGTGAGCTTCAGGAATTTGATGGAGTGTGCACAGTCTCTCAAGGTGAGAAAATATTCAGCAATATTACTGGATTCATCATACTGTGGACATAGTCACTCCCATTTGTGGATTGTTGGGGAAGGATTGTTAGGGTTATTCGGTATATTCTGCTGAGCCTTTGCCTTCTCCATCTCCAGTGCATGCTTCCTCTTTTTTCCTTCTCCTCCTTTTCTTTTTCCTTTGCCTCCGTTTCTCTCCTGTGGGCAGCCTCTCTTTCTTTTTCTTTGGCTGCTTGTGCATCCATCTCTGTATGTCTGAGTTCTACCCGTCTTTCATGTTCCTTTTGTTTTTCCTCAGCCTCAAATCTGGCTAATTCCAGCTTCTGTTGAACAGTGTAGTCTGTCATCCTGCCATTTTTGTTTTTAACTAACTGTACACCTAAGAGTTAGAAAGGAAAAAAAAACACACTGGCTTGTAAAATTTTGCTGTACTGTAACCGGATACTTTTTTTCCTCTGATAGCTGTTCTCAGCCTACAGAAAAATCCTTTTGTTATGCCTGCTGCTCTGTCCCCCAGGCAGAGACACAGAATCTACAGCTGCAATCACCTTTTACAAAACCCTTTAAAATCTTGCTGTGCTTCTGGTTCAAAATGATCCCACTGCTCTGCCACCATGTCAAGGTTCCTTCCCCACTCTGAACTCTAGGGTACGGATGTGGGGACCAGCATGAAAGACCCCCTAAACTTATTCTTACCAGCTTAGGTTAAAAACTTCCCCAAGGTACAAACTTTGCCTTGTCCTTGAACCGTATGCTGCCACCACCAAGCGTTTTAAACAAAGAACAGGGAAGGAGACAATTTGGAGACGTCTTCCCCCAAAATATCCCCCCAAGCCCTACACTCCCTTTCCTGATGAAGGCTTGATAAGAATCCTCACCACTTGGTACAGGTGAACAAAGACCCAAACCCTTGGATCTTAAGAACAATGAAAAATTAATCAGGTTCTCAAAAGAAGAATTTTAATTAAAGAAAAGGTAAAAGAATCACCTCTGTAAAAACAGGATGGTAAATACCTCACAGGGTAATCAGATTCAAAATGCAGAGAATCCCTCTAGGCAAAACCTTAAGTTACAAAAAGACACAAAAACAGGAATATACATTCCATCCAGCACAGCTTATTTTACCAGCCATTAAACAAAAGGAAATCTAACTCATTTCTAGCTAGATTACTTACTAACTTAACAGGAGTTGTAAGGCTGCATTCCTGATCTGTTCCTGGCAAAAGCATCACACAGACAGACAAACCCTTTGTCTCCCCCTTTGTCCCCTCATTGATCACTTTGGGTCAGGTGCCAGCAAGGTTATCTTAGCTTCTTAACCCTTTACCGGTGAAAGGGTTTTGCCTCTGGCCAGGAGGGATTTTATAGCACTGTATACGGAAAGGTGGTTACCCTTCCCTTTATATTTATGACAGTTACTATTTATTTTATAGTGTGGCAGATATAAAACGCAACATTCTTATATCGTCTCTCTAGGTTCAGTAACCTCCCTGGCAGTAGGATACGTGAAAATTAACTGGGATCTTTCAGGAGAGCTAGCACTGGGAATCTTCTCTGCACTGGATGCTGGTTCTCTATTTCTCATGCATTTTACTACCAACATCTGGGTATGCTATGCTAGCTATCTAGTTTTCAAGTCATGTTACATGCTCCTCATAACAATAGCAACGTAAGTACAAACCATCATCATGCTGAATTGTTTATGCACAGACTTCTTAAACAATAAAAAAAGTCACATTAGACATTCCTTCAGTTTAAAAATAATGAAGTTAGCATTAGATTGATTACAGCTCATTAGCTCCTTGAATTAAATCAATATATTCCCCAATTTTCATTTTAAGGGGTTGTTAGAATAGTTTGGTGGACTAAGACAAGAAAACAAGGACAACAGCCAACCTGTACAAACATATCCATTTTTCCTCGCACAGTTACAAGTACAACACTGCCTTCAGCTGGGTGGAACGTCAAAGGTGTTTGAAAGATGTCACCCACAAGTGACCACAGAATGCAGAAAGAATAAGCCATAATGTTTCTACATAACTGGGAATGTTTCAAGGAATTCAGCAATTAGTTATATTATGCCCTCTCTATTTCAGCTGGTTAGGGATATCCGGTGGATATTTATTGCTTTAAGTACATTTGAGATATGATATAGCTATGTCACAGATGGGGTTAAGAGCTACTAAATTAACCTACAGCTATACTTAGGTATATTTACAGCTTGCTGTTAGGTTAATTGGTGCTTTTAAAAAGAACAGACTGATAACAATAAACCCTCAAACCTTTGTTTTTAAGAAAGGGGGAGAGAGAGAGAGAGAGAGTCATTGAATTCAAATGAATTTTGCTTCTGTTACATAGCAGCTATATAGACATCTTCTCAAGGAAAAGCCCATTAATGGATCTCAATTCTTTCCTGATTACTTGAAAGCCATTAGAGGAGTTAAACCTAACACATTTACAAGAACCCTGGCACCCCATTTTTCTACAATCAAGTAAAATGTACAAAATGAACAGAATTAAATAAAGAATGTGCGAAGAGCAGTATTCCTACATTCCCATATGGTAGATACGAAGCACGCATCTGTCTACACAACACACACTCAAGCTAGTGAGGAGCTTTCAAATTAAAGATTTTTCATCAGAAGATCCCAATTCATCAAAACTGAAACTGATCGAAACAGGCCCTTTCCCATTAACAATCTCCCAACTAAAAGAAATGTTGAAAAAAGTTTCAAAGTTGTTGAAATGCTCATGTCAGCATTTCCAAAATTAAATGGTTCATTCTGTGGTTCAAAACAACTTTTATTTTGACATTTTAGTTATTTTATACTAAAAAACAAAATATTTAATCAATTGAAACATTTCAAAATCATCAAAACAAAATGTATCAATTGACCCAATCTGAGGTTTTTTTCTTCCCTCCAGATTATCAATTTGTGAAATTTTTCAACATTAACTTTTCATCTCAATTTAGGACACGAAATTTTTTCAAAATCTCAAAACTTCTCACAGGATAGGAAAACCATTTCACACCCATCTCTCTCTCTCTCTCTCACACACACACACGTTTGACACATCTAACTCACTATTCAATCCAGCCTTCTGTTGAGATTGCTTTTTTGTGAATATGGCACAATAGAATTTTGTTCATACAAATATTTGGAGAGGATTTTTTTCATGCAAATACAGCTGTTGATGCATGAATTCGTGCATCCATGCGCACACAAAAGTCAATTTGTACTGAAAGTGCTTTCCGAGCCATCGTTGATTATTAATCCAGCTAGATGGATTAGGTCAGGGCTTAAATTCAGCCAGAGCTGCCTGGAGCAGAGCTTTGGTAAACATTTTCAACCCCCCTGGAGTTTTCATAGCATGTTGGGGGAGGAGAGGGAGATTGCATGGGGGGCACCTGGAAAGACTCTGAGGATTTAAGCCCTGTCTTAGGTAGGCTAGTGTATGTGACAGGAAAAAAACGAATGTAAAATCTGCTGAACAGCAAATAAATCCAGTCTATTTCTTTCTCTTCCGCAGTCAAGAAGGAATCCAGCTGTTTTTAAATCTGGAGTCTATGAATATGGCCAAACCTAATGCTCATTCTTTGCACAAAATAGACAGGAAACAAATGTCCGAAGATTTCCTAGACCACACAATGCTCCCCTCTGAGAAATTCAACATCCCAATGATTTCTTCAGGCGTTGCTCCTGGTTTTATGAATGTTAGCTCACCCATCGTGTGACTTAACTGACCAATCTCACAGCCCACATTCTCAGTGCTGTAAATTGAGTACTCACCATAACGGTTTCCAAAAAACCCATAGGCCCAAATATTACTAAACATACACTGAGGTAGTGCCAAAACCTGCTCCCCAATTTGCTATATGCTGTAGAGACTTACAGAAGGCAACAGTCTTAAATATTATGGGTTCAGCAATAGCAAACAATGAACAAATTCTCCAACAGAGGTTGGTCTAACAACAGACATTATTGGACCAACCTTCTCTCTCTCATATCTGGGACCAACACGGCTACAAACACTGCAAACAAAAAACATCCTGACAGGTACATGGACAGTTCACAAACAGGAAAATGGGGGAAATCTGACAGATGGTTTGCCATGAAGTTCAACCAGCTCTACCAAAAAAATGGAAGCCCACAATAAACCTAATAAACCTATCAGGAACCTAATAAATATCCTATGTCCAATAAAAAAAATAATCGACATACTATACAATGTATTGCTAGAATTACAAGCAAACTTTCTGAGTAGAAGACCCAAAAGATACAATTTTACAAAGAAAAGTTTAAAATAAATGCAAAGAAAAAAGTTGAAGGGAGAGAAAAAACTTACAGGAATTCAGCAAAGATAAGAAGTAATCAATGCCACTCTCAAACCACAGACCTTACAAACCAACTGGCAAGAGAAACTCTGTTCTTAAGAGGTTCTATTAGATCCCATAGGGCTCATCTGAGCCAAGAATGGAAGGATAATCCAGAAGTTTGGTGATAGCCTAGGACCTGGGAGACCCAGGTTTAAATTCCCTGCTCTCTCATAGCCTTCCTGTGTAACTCTGAGCAAATCACTTATTTCCTCTGTGCCTCAGGTCTCCATCTACAAAATGGGGATTATAGGCGATACCCTGATTCTAGAGGACAGAAGGTGAAACCTCTCCTCAGAGATTATGGTAATATGGGAGGAGGGGGCATGTAAGGACAGAGAATGATAGTCAACATGTTCAAATATACCTTGCCTTGTCTACACTAGGGTGTTAAAATATGTTAGTAACACATTGTAAAATGACACCTTTTATCCTAGCCGAGACATACCATTCTGTATGTGAATCGTCGCTCTTTCCCAAGGAAAAGGAAAGGGAATACATTCATATTCCCTGCAGTTTAACTAACCAACCATTTAATTTTAGGTTTCAGATTGCTGTCAATCTAAGCATGGAACGCTACGCTTTAATGTTTGGATTCAACAACTTTGTCGCACTGGTGATTCAGACTATTATAACTGTAGTCGTAGTTGATTCAAGAGGTCTGGGATTGAAGATAGTCACCCAGGTAAATAGTATTATTCACTTCACATTTACTGTTTAGTTAATTCAGTTAGTGTCACATGCATCTTAAACCTGTAAAAGGAATCCTTTGACATCGCAATTTCCAGTTTAAGCAATCATAATCCACTCTTCTTTTGTCCTTTCCCTTGTGTAGACAGCACTGAAGATGTAACTTGGTCACCAGCTTTGAAAGTTTGCCACTGTGTTTTTACATAAAACTCATAGGTTAGTCATGGTCCCTTCCCTCCACCCTTAGTAGCCCAGATCCACACTCTAGGATCCCATTAAACTGACCCTTTGATTTTTTTTATTTTTTTTTTTGCAGTATTACCTGACCCCAGACCAATTCATGACTGAGGAGGTAATACTGTTGGGCTGCTGCCAACTTCCTCTCAGTTAATACAACTAACCTAGCACCCACCCTGCTGAGAAATCAACATAATCTCTAGCCACAAGGTGTCATGGCAGTTCAACAGCATAAGAGGTAGCCTGGACCAAGCACAAAACTAAGCACAAGAGGCTCCTGCATTCTAATTCCATCTCTGCCGCAGACCTGCTCTGTAGCTTAAATCAGATAACTCTACCTTTCTGCCTCGAGTTTCCCCATTTGTAAACTGGAGTAGTAATACCTACTTATTACATAGGGGTGTTCACTGCACTCATTAACCCAGTCCTACTTCTACTAATGTCAACTGAAATTTTGCCTTTGAGTACAAGGGCAGCAGGATCTAGCCAAAACCTTGGTAAATTATTTTTCCCTCTTTGAAATCATCACCATACTTTCGAGTTGACTGAAGAGACGTAGAAAGGAGCCTTCAGTAACTTGGCAGGAGAAGGTGGTGGTGAGAAGAGCGACAGAATCAGAGTACCAAAGTGGGAAAGTAAAGAAAGGGTAGAACTGGCTAACATGCACACTTTGAGTGGTTGACAAAGGGGGCAAGACACTTTGAATCTCTGATGGGGGAACCTGTATGATAATTGCTGTACCCTTGAAGCTCACAGCCACACCACACAGAGTAGGAATACATCCAACAGCACAGAATACTTAGGTATATAGAGTATAAAGCTATTTGAGTGGGTACCCAGCCTCTTACAAAGAATGCCATGGGATCTTTAATGACCCCAAGTGGCCAGAAACTTGGTTTTATATCTCGTCAATAGACTTAATCCTCAGCTGGTGTAAATTGCCGGGCACCATTGAAGTCACTGAAGCTCTGACAATTTACACAAATTGAGCATTTGACCCTAGAGGCAGCAGGTTTAACAAGGTAAGAAATGCTACTCTGGAACTTGCACGTCTGTCAGACTAATGCTTTCATGATGCCAACTATAGACACGATACACATTGACAAACATAATGGAAAAGGCTTAAGCAAACAAGTGCTCCCCATATTGTTACCTAAAGTCATCAGATGCTTCAGTAACACAAGAAAGTCCATGGAGAGCTCGCTTTTGAATATGGAAAAGAAAACAAAAACATCTGCTCTGTTAGTTCCAATCTTTACCATGTTCCCAGGTGAATGTAGAGAGTTCCCTCAATGACATCTCAGACACAGCAATTCCACATCACTTTTGCTGGCCCTCTGGGCTCCAAGAATACCAAAAAGGAGTTCAGATACCATTCAGCAGGGGTGTGACTTCTGAGTTTAGATATATTTTTATTAGATGGCCTTGAGGTCTCTTGGTTGGTTAGCACAAGCAGGCAGAGTTCCTGGAACGATGACAAGCACGCTGCAGATTCCACCACCACCACCCCTTTTGCTTTCCCAGAGCATAGAGCACCCCCTCCTGATCTTCCCCTCAGGGTTACTTCTGCACAGTAGCTCGATAATACTATTTACCTGCCAGGTGGTTTTAGCAATGAAGCTACATTATTGCCTGACAAAACTGATAGAGGAAGTAATATAATAAACGGGTGGAGGACTCAAACAGGGCATTATGGAACAAAATATTGTCCAAAATGCTAAAGACCCCTTGAGAGTTTCTTTTCACAGCCATTGAATGAAAACTTCAACAATATAGAGGCACAAAAGCAGGCTTATGATGTATTACTTTAGAGTCATTTCTGTTGATTTTAATAAGTTCTCAGAGCTTTACATTTTTCACAGTATTAAAAGCACTCCTCCCTCCCCATTCACTGTGAAAGGCAAAAAAAAATTGCTTCCTGATGTATTAAATTTTGATCTACTGTACGTTCAAGGTAATAAGTGCTCTAAGACTCTGTACATCTTGAGATCCTGAAATGAAGATACATCTACAGTACACCTTTGATTGTCTGCATATCACGGGGGAATGAAGAAGCAATCAATCACTTTTGGATAATCAGAGTTATCAGTGTAATTTATAAATGTTTGATGTGTATAATATTTGTTTCAATTAACAGTTTCAGCAACTGAGGTTTGTATGAACAAGGTAGAACTGTATCATTTCCAATAATCCTTATACTATAACAGGATAGAATATCACTGATGATATGCAAACAAACAGATCTTGTGTTCTCCCAATCCTGGACCACATTGATACTAGTCTAGTCTCCAGCATAAACTAGTGACTCTCTGAAGGCTGCTCGCCCTTGGCTGTCCATACCCCCAAGGAGCCATTCCAGTAGCTGGACATTGCCAGAGCCTAAGGAAATATTTGGTCATGCCTCTTTCCCTCACCACACCTTTATGATGCCTGCCAGGAGGAGCAGGGGGTTGGTGTAGGAGCCAGTATGACACCTCTGCATACCAAGCATCCACTGGTATCTGGCAAGCCATCCAAATGAAGTTTGTGCTTGCAGAAATTTAGCTATGACATGGGTGAACGAATTGGTAGAATCTATATACTTAATAGTTCAGAAAGATGTGGGTATTTCTCCAATACAGTATGTGTGTTTTACCAGTTCTTCTGCATTCCTTTTTTTCCAGTTCCTCATTTATGGCAGTTACTTTGCAGTCATAGCTGGGATTTTCCTGATCAGAAGCATTTACACAATTGTCTCAATCAAATGCAAAAGGGAAACACGGAACTTCTGCAATGGACCTCAGAACATTATGGAACAAGGATCAGAAACCAGATTATAACTAGCTATGCAAAGATCTGTGGCTTTAATGACCTCTCAAAAATGCCCCTGCTTGCAAAACTCTTACTGAAGTCAATGAGAGATTGCAGTAAGGGGAGCAGCACTTCGTCCTTCATGTATGCCCCTGCTAAATCACAACAAACTTACTCCAATCAAAAGAATTGGCTGATATAATTGAACACCAGATCTTCAGCTGGTGTAAATCAATATTGTGCCACTGATCTGCACTGACCTACCCGAACGTTATACCCTTCTGAGGGACTGGCCCATCATCCTGATATTTTGCCAAAAAAAAAAGGAAGAATCTGGTTTGATTGGATTCTGATTTATTTACACAACAGCATAACAATCTCAATCTATGTGTTATGCAAAAATACCACGGTTCTTTTTCCCTCCTTCACTCAGGCTTTTGAAAAAATTGTAAATGGGCTGCTTTCCATTCCAAAAGGCTATTCCATTTGGCAATTCAGCTTTGCTGCTCCAAGTGGGATGAGGGTTTTGCTCATACCTTCATTCAGGGTAGATCCTTGTAGCCTCCTACCTATGTATATCCCTGTAGGAGTGGGGTTTTATATTTGTATTTCAGGTTTAATAATGTAGTAATGTATTTCATCCTGCCAGCCACCCATTTTGAATAGCAGAAAGGAACGACTCTCTGGAGGATTGGTAGAAATGCATCTGACTGACTGCCAGTGACTGTCAGTGTCTGTACTGATGTTAAGGCAGGGACAGACCAGAACAATCCTCATGACAGATTATGGTCACCCTTTTGTTTTAGGATAAGTTATAACATCTACTATGGTTTCCTACATGTATTATAAATTAGGCACTATAGTTAAATATACATTTCTTTGTTTTAAGGTTTAGTAAGTAAGAGACAGGATCTTGTATTGTGTCTATGTTAATGAGAATAGAGGAATGTTGAAGGTCTGGGCCACAATGTGAACTGTTTTGATTACAAGATTTAGTAAGGTTTAATTTACAATGCCTTTCTTGCTCAACATAAAGACTGCTGTATACCTTTGAAGGTCTCTGTAAAAGACTGTTTGTGTGAATGAGGAATGCATGCATCAGGAAAAGATAAGGTGTGAAGGCCATTGTTAAAGTCAGATGGTCAAGAGAGGAAGAGTGAAGAAACTTAAGGACATTAGACAGAACCATCAACACACATCCATAATGAAGGAAGGGCAGATGACAACCCTGAGGTAGAGGCTGACACCCCTAAAGACAAGACAACTGATTAAATTGAAACCAGGACAGGATGACCCTCTTGGAGGTGTTTTGGAATGCTAACATCAAAAGATAACACCAATTAAAACCGGTTAAAAACTGACACAGCAAAATCCATGGATTTCGACAGAGAAAAACAGGGTGCTTGGCCATGGGACTTTGGGTTCATCTTGCCACAACTCCAGAAGCATCGGATCGCAACTGACAGAGCCCAGCTCCCCTCTGCGACCAATCTGGCTGACTACTAGATTGATCCAGACTCTGGACTGGTAACTATAATCATCAACTGGCTGGAGGGAGGGAGAGAGAGAGGGAGAGAGAGAAAAGTATATGCTAACTGCTGTAATCTCAATAAATGCGGTGTATTGCCTTCTTCCCTGAAAAAGATCCCATGTGCTTCTTATAAGCGTAACACCCCATCCTATGCCTGTAGAAGAATTACTGCTTCTACACCCCTATAACATTCCTTCTTAGTTTTGTATCTGTAATGCTGTTTCCTCCCCTCTACCTTTAAGATCACTCTTGAAAATTGGGCCTTTCACTCATGATGGTTGTAGAAGCCAGGTTCCCTAGAACAACTGTGGAGGTTAATTGTAAAAACAGTCAAGTCGTCGTGACTTGCATTTGAAAGAAGTTGCCTGAACTTCATGGTGAATCCATGGCAAACTTGGACTGGAAGAAGAGGAAGAAAATTTAAGAATCAAGGCAAAAGATAAACAGAGAACCCCACTCATTTGCTTGCGCCTAGATGCATAGAGTTAATTTAAATTAAGGGCGTGTCTTTCACCATATCTCTAAATTCAAAGAGATTGTCCAGTAATCAGTATGATCAGGATAGGTGAAGTGTGGGGAAATTTGGTTGGTGCAATACAGGAAAATTCCGAACTAAATGGGTGAGTCAGGAAGATGCATCAAATAAAAATAAACACTGCAGGTATGTTCTTTAAGTACCAGATCACAAGGTCCACTGATCTCAGATGAGGATTTTCCTGAGTAAGGACCTCAGAATTTATAAAAGGCTTGAAGCCTTACAATTCAGTCAAGTACTGAGAGAAATTCATCCTGAATGACAAGAGAGAGATTCAGAAAGCACAGATCCACTTGGAGGATGGCCAGCCTCACGTAAATTATATCAATTTTTTTTCTGTAACAAAGTTTTGTTGCAGTTTCCAACCATTTCTCAAAGCCAGACTGTAATAAAAGAAAATTATAAATACTTCAAATTCACAGAGTAGTGCTTCACTCAAAGCAACTTATCTAGTTCTCCCAATGGCCATGTGAAGCACATGGGGTAAGTATCCTCTTTCTCCCCAAACGTTGGAATAGACAAAGATGAAGGAAAAATGTGGACAAATTGGAAAACATCCAGAGAAGAGCAACAAAAATAAGTAATGGTCTAGAAAACATGACCTGCAAGGAAAGATTGAAAATACTGGGTTTGTTTAGACTGCAGAAGAAAAGACTGAGGTGGGATGTGATAACAGTTTTCAAGTATGTAAAAGGTTGTTACAAAGAGAAGGGTGAAAAATTGTTCTTGTTAATCACTGAGGATAGGACAAGAAGCAATGGGCTTAAACTGCAGCAAGAGAGATTTACATTGAACATTAGGAAAAACTTCCGTCGGGGTGGTTAAACACGGGAACACGTTGCCTAGGGATGCTGTGGAATCTCTGTCATTGGAGGTTAAGAACTTGTTAGACAAACACTTATCAGGGAAGGTCTAGTCATTACATAGTCTTGCCTTGGGTTCAAGGGACGATGACTTATTGAGGTCACTTCCAGTCCTACACTTCCGTGATTCTATGAAGCCATTTGTTCAAGGGAGGAAGAGTCAAGATTAATCACAACCTCCTGACTCCCAATTATGTGCCCATTTCCCTAGGCTACACAGTTTACTATTTAATGTCTTTTATTGTCTGTATGTTTCTCTGCTGTAAATTCTCTGTTCATAAACATGTCTTTATAAGAATATTGAAAATGACCGCTACATTGGATTATTTTGGAATAGTGCTCTCTATCTGATCCATAGTCATGCCTCATTATTGAGAAATGAAAAAAGTGCTCAGTGCATGGGACTCTCCCTTATTCCTACTCTAAGAAACTGGAACTGAACAATTCAGACCACAAATTGCCAACTCATGATTTTTTCCTGAGTCATGGGACTTCAGATGGGATCAGAGCTCATTTCACAACAACATAGCTCCGGTCCCTGCACAAAGTTCATATATTCTCAGCCCAGAAGGGACTATTGTGATCAGTTAGTCTGACCTCCTGTGTAACAAGCCATAGAACTTCCCATAAAATAATTCCTAGAGCACATCTTTTAGAAAAAAGAAGAAAAAAACATCCAGTCTGGATTTAAAAATTGCCAGTGATGGAGAATTCAACAACTACCCTTAGTAAATTGTTCCAATGGTCAATTACCTTCACTGTTAAAAATTCCCGTTCCCAGTCTGAATTTGTCTAGCTTCAGCTTCCTGCCCTTGGATCATGTTTTATTTATCTATTCTACCCATTTAATTAATAAATAATTCATAGAATCATAGAATATCAGGGTTGGAAGGGACCTCAGGAGGTCATCTAGTCCAACCCCCTGCTCAAAGCAGGACCAATCCCCAATTAAATCATCCCAGTCAGGGCTTTGTCAAGCCTGACCTTAAAAATATCTAAGGAAGGAGATTCCACCACCTCCCTAGGTAACACATTCCAGTGTTTCACCACCCTCCTAGTGAAAATTTTTTTCCTAATATCCAACCTAAACCTCCCCCACTGCAACTTGAGACCATTACTCCTTGTTCTGTCATCAGCTACCACTGAGAACAGTCTAGATCCATCCTCTTTGGATCCCCCTTTCAGGTAGTTGAAAGCAGCTATCAGATCCCCCCTCATTCTTCTCTTCCGCAGACTAAACAATCCCAGTTCCCTCAGCCTCTCCTCATAACTCATGTGTTCCAGTCCCCTAATCATTTTTGTTGCCCTCCGCTGGACTCTTTCCAATTTTTCCACATCCTTCTTGTAGTGTGGGGCCCAAAACTGGACACAGTACTCCAGATGAGGCCTCACCAATGTTGAATAGAGGGGAACGATCATGTCCCTCGATCTTCTGGCCATGCCCCTACATATACGTCCCAAAATGCCATTGGCCTTCTTGGCAACAAGGGCACACTGTTGACTCATATCCAGCTTCTCGTCCACTGTAACCCCTAGGTCCTTTTCTGCAGAACTGCTGCCGAGCCATTCGGTCTCTAGTCTGTAGCAGTGCATGGGATTCTTCCGTCCTAAGTGCAGGACTCTGCACTTGTCCTTGCTGAACCTCATCAGATTTCTTTTGGCCCAATCCTCTAATTTGTCTAGGGCCCTCTGTATTCTATCCCTACCCTCCAGCGTATCTACCTCTCCTCCCAGTTTAGTGTCATCTGCAAGCTTGCTGAGGGTGCAATCCACACCATCCTCCAGATCATTTATGAAGATATTGAATTAAACCGGCCCAAGGACCAACCCTTGGGGCACTCCACTTGATACTGGCTGCCAACTAGACATGGAGCCATTGATCACTACCCGTTGAGCCCGACAATCTAGCCAGCTTTCTATCCACCTTATAGTCCATTCATCCAGCCCATACTTCTTTAACTTGCTGGCAAGAATACTATGGGAGACCGTGTCAAAAGCTTTGCTAAAGTCAAGGAACAATACGTCCACCGCTTTCCCTCATCCACAGAACCAGTTATCTCGTCATAGAAGGCAATTAGATTAGTCAGGCATGACTTGCCCTTGGTGAATCCATGCTGACTGTTCCTGATCACTTTCCTCTCCTCTAAGTGCTTCAGAATTGATTCCTTGAGGACCTGCTCCATGATTTTTCCAGGGACTGAGGTGAGGCTGACTGGCCTGTAGTTCCCAGGATCCTCCTTCTTCCCTTTTTTAAAGATGGGCACTACATTAGCCTTTTTCCAGTCGTCTGGGACTTCCCCAGATCGCCATGAGTTTTCAAAGATAATGGCCAATGGCTCTGCAATCACATCTGCCAACTCCTTTAGCAGTCTCGGATGCAACGCATCCAGTCCCATGGACTTGTGCACGTCCAGCTTTTCTAAATAGTCCCGAACCACTTCTTTCTCCACAGAGGGCTGGTCACCTCCTCCCCATGCTATGCTGCCAAACGCAGTAGTCTGGGAGCTGACTTTGTTTGTGAAGACAGAGGCAAAAAAAGCATTGAGTACATTAGCTTTTTCCACATCCTCTGTCACTAGGTTGCCTCCCTCATTCAGTAAGGGGCCCACACTTTCCTTGACTTTCTTCTTGTTGCTAACATACCTGAAGAAACCCTTCTTGTTACTCTTAACATCTCTTGCTAGCTGCAACTCCAGGTGTGATTTGGCCTTCCTGATTACACTCCTGCAACCCCGAGCAATATTTTTATACTCTTCCCTGGTCATTTGTCCAATCTTCCACTTCTTCTAAGCTTCTTTTTTGTGATTAAGATCAGCAAGCATTGTTAAGCCAAGCTGGTCGCCTGCCATATTCACTATTCTTTCTACACATCAGGATGGTTTGTCCCTGTAACCTCAATACGGATTCTTTAAAATACAGCCAGCTCTCCTGGACTCCTTTGCCCCTCATATTATTCTCCCAGGGGATCCTGCCCATCAGTTCCCTGAGGGAGTCAAAGTCTGCTTTTCTGAAGTCCAGGGTCCATATTCTGCTGTTCTCCTTTCTTCCCTGTGTCAAGATCCTGAATTCAACCATCTCATGGTCACTGCCTCCCAGGTTCCCATCCACTTTTGCTTCCCCTACTAATTCTTCCCGGTTTGTGAGCAGCAGGTCAAGAAGAGCTCTGCCCCTAGTTGGTTCCTCCGGCACTTGCACCAGAAAATTGTCTCCTACCCTTTCCAAAAATTTCCTGGATTGTCTGTGCACCGCTGTATTGCTCTCCCAGGAGATATCAGGGTGATTGAAGTCTCCCATGAGAACCAGGGCCTGCAATCTAGTAAATTCCGTGAGTTGCCAGAAGAAAGCCTCATCCAGCTCATCCCATTATTAAATATTTGTTCCCCATATAGATATTTACAGACTAATCAAGCCACCCCTTAAATCTGCTCTGTTACACTAAATAGATTGAGCCCCTTGAGTTTATCAACATAAGACATGTTTTCTAATCCTTTAATCATTCTCATGGCTCTTCTCTGAACCCATTCCAATTTATCAACATCATTCTTGAATTGTGGGCACCAGACTGGACACAGTATTCCAACAGTGGTTGCAGCAGTGCCAAGTACAGAGGTAAAATAACCTGTCTGTCACTACTCGAGATTCCCCTGTTTATGCATCCAAGGACTATGTTAGCCCTTCTGGCCACAGCATCATATTGGGAGCTCATATTCAGCTGATTATCCACCATGACCTCCAAATACAACAGAGGACCAGTTGGGGGCAGGAGGGTTGCAGAAAACAGGCTTGTGTCTGTATGATGCACGTACCACCGCATGCCTAGTCTGAGCAGTGGAACAGGGTGTTGATTAACTCCTTCACTTCACAGGAATCTGCCTCAGAGATCTCCATGAAACTCTCATGGAGATACTGGGCAATCCACTGCTGCAGGTTATTTGGCAGAGCTACTTTGTTTCTTGCCCCATTAAGGGTAACTTTCCCTTTCACTCTGTTGTCACTGGGGGGGAACCATTGCTGCACACAGGCGAGCCGCATAAGGGCCAGGGCAGAAGCCGCTGTCTTGGAGAAGGCCCTCCCTTGATTCCCTGCTCACCCTCAGCAGCAAGATACCATCCATAATGAACACAGCCTGTGGGAAGTGTGGAGACAGGAATGATTATAAGCCCTCCCCCGCCCCCAGTGCCGGCTCTCCTCAAGACCCACGTGCCCAGTGTACAGTATGGTCCTGGAACACTGATTTCCCCTGCCCCTGCAGTTACTCACCATTTTGGGGGTCTTGTGGCTCATGTGTACTTGCCTGGGGTCAGTTAGTGACAGGTACGTGAACAGTGGCTCTGTTTTAAATCACTGAATCAGTGGTCTCTGTGTTGCAAACAATACGGCTTCTGTAAAATGTTGCACTGCTCTGGATACTGTTGCAAGTGCCGCAAGCGTGAACATGTTATTGCGTAGGCAGCTGACAGTGTGAACACACAACAGTGCGCTCTGAGAAGCACTGTAACTGCCAACGCTGTAACTCTGCCAGCGTAGACATGCAAAGATCCCTGAGACAGGTGCTTTAAGTCCCATTGAAATCAATATACTAAACCACTGTTCTGAACAAGAAAAGACTTTAAGTATGTTTTTAAGTGCTGTCCTGAACAGGGGCCTATACTTTTTTCTTATAAATACAATTTTAAGGGAGACCATAAAAGATTTGTCCAGTTATAACTTGCTGATTCATTGCTTTCATAATTGCTATGTATCAATTGCCATTTCCCATGCAGTTAGAGAAGAGCTGATTGATTTTCAGGAAGATAATTGTTTCCCCTTATTTTTCATTCAGATTAAAGGAATTAAAACAAAAAACAAAAACCCACAGTGATAAGAAGCCTACAGATTATTACATTTTAAGCAACATTTTTCTTACATAGTGAACAATGCAGTATAAGATCTGTGCTTCAGAGCTTGTCATATTTGTATATATTTCATGCACTGCCATTAATTCAATTACTATGATTCTTATTCTACACGTTCATTCACACAGTCACAGGATTCCTTCCTTTCCAGGTTACAAACCAGGTTTTCCCAGTTTGGACATACTCTTATCTGGTGCTGCTGTTTCCCATTTTCTTGATTACAGGCTACGTATAAGACCGTCATTAATCTTAGCAGAGTTAACGAAGCTATTACATGGCTAACACATTTCTCCAAGGAATGCTAGCCACGCAACTGATTTTTTTTATGGGATGGTAACAGCCACTGAAGTTGTCTATTATGCCCTACATTTACAGCGTTGTCAGTACTGACACAACAGAAAGTGACTAGTTATTGCAGAAGCATCATGTTAGTTGAAACCACAGTTGCAGGGGTGCTGGGACAATTTTTAGTCTTCTTGGCAGATTTATCCTATTTTTGTCTCAATGACCTAAGTTTGGCTTCTCTATCCTTGGCCTCATTTTTTCTACCAATGTCCCCCAAAAAGAATGTTCTTCCAAAGAAAAGATGTCCTA